TGAAGGTTTTTGGTGTTCTACCTTAGCTTTATGACATACTAAGCAAGCATACACAAATTCCTCCACTTCCCTCTTCATCTTAGGCCACCAAAACATCTTCTTAAGGTCTTGGTACATCTTAGTGGCTCCTAGATGGATACTAAGGATACTCTTATGATCTTCTTCAAGAATTGCTCTCTTAAGCTCTAGCACATTGGGAATGTACAACCTATCCTTAAATCTCAAGATTCCATCCACTCCAAATCTAAACTCACTCTCCACACCTTGATTCAACTTCTCTACTTGACTCAATAAGAAAGGATCTATCTTCTGACCTTCTCTAATCTCATCTATCAAGCTATTAGTCTCTCTCAAATCTCCCAACTTAATACTCTTAGAGGTCAACTCACACCCTAAGCTCATATCCCTAAACTCCTCAATCATATGCAATTCCCTAATCAGCAAAGAAGACACTCTCAAAGATTTTCTACTTAAAGCATCCTGGTTACATCACTAGTGACCCTAAGGTACACCTTGTTAGCCTGTTACGTCGTGGATGACCCTAAGGTACACCTTGTTAGCATGTTATGTCGTGGGTAACCGTAAGGTACACCTTGTTAGCATGTTACATCACTGGTGACCCTAAGGTACACCTTGTTGGCATGTTACATCACTAGTGACCCTAAGGTACACCTGGTTACATCACTGGTATGCGGCCTCAGCGGCACACCTGGAGTAATATATGCATATGATTCATGTCATACATTCATTATTTCATTGACTCAACATTTGACTTATTACATAATTTCATTTAGTACATCATGTCATCATTTTTCATATTCTTATAATCCCAGCTTGTCTCAATAGTCCATTCTTATGTCTCATGTCATTTGTCCATATTTCACATGGTTATGTCATAATTATTCCTCATAAGGTCCGCACAGGAATCCACAGAGAGCATTCTTATTCATATTAAAACTTGTTTATTTTTAACATTAATTACGTATACATTTATTACATCCAACAAGGAACAAAGTAGAGCAAACAGAAAATAAAACAGAGCACATTAATACTTTGCATGTTTTTAGAAGCATGCAACAGGCAAGGGATTGGGAGTGAATCCGACAATCAGACTATCCAACAATTATTCTCACACCCCCGAGCGAGGTTTCTCACTCCCCCCTTACCTGGATAAGCAGGAGCTGAAACTTGAGCAGGACCTTGTTACTCTTTATTCCTCTGGATTCCCTCTTTTTCTTTCTTTCTCTTTCTTTCTCTTTCTCTCTTTCTTTCTCCCTCTTTCTCTCTCTAAGTTTTCACCTTCTCAATTAGTTATAATTTTTTTCACCCCCTACCTCCTATTTATAGGAATTCTGGGGTACCCGGAACAGCCCGTACTGAATTTGGAACGGCCCGTTCTAGAGCCATGCATTATAGGCAAAATTTACAACTGGAATGACCCGTTCTAAAATCAGAATAGCCCGTTTTCAGAAAATTAGAACGACCCGTTCTAAAATTAGAACGACCCGTTCTGGGGTTCCTTTTAACACATATTAACTGTAAGTAGAACGACCTGTTTCCAGCTTAACTTTTTAGGCTATTTTTTTACTCTGGAACGGCCCGTTTCACTTTTGAGAACGGCCGTTCCACTTTTTGGAACGACCCGTTCTGCTTTTTGGAACGGCCCGTTCCGGGCCTATTTAAAAAAAAAACAGGATTCATGTAAAAATTAATTTTTCATCAATATAAAAATAATAATAATTAATATTATATTAGCAAAAAATTTGGGGTGTTACAATTCTCCCCTCCTTTTAGAAATTTCGTCCCCGAAGTTTACCTGAAAACAAAAATGGATAAGCTTCTCGCATCTTGCTTTCTAATTCTCATGTAGCACTTTCTTCAAAATTTCCTCCCCAAACGACCTTAACCAAAGGGATTTCCTTTACTCTCAGTTGTTTCACCCTCGTGTCATCAATCTTTAAAGGAACTGTTTCATAGGTAAGATTATCCTTCAACTGAATGTTGTCAAACTCAATGATATGGGAAGGATCATGGACATATTTTCTGAGTTGGGAAACATGGAAGACATTATGGAGATTTGAAAGAGATGGAGGCAAGGCAATTTGATAGGCTACTTCACCGATCCTTTTAAGAATTTGATAAGGACCGATGAAACGTGGAGTAAGCTTACGGGATTTCAGTGTTCTGCCTACTCCTATCCAAGGAGTGACTTTAAGGAATACATGATCACCTTCTTTAAACTCAAGGTCTTTTCTCCTCTTGTCATTATAACTCTTTTGCCTACTCTAGGTTGCTCTCATCCTTTCTTGGATCATCTTAACCTGTTCAGTAGTTTGTTGAACTATCTCAGGTCCTAACATGGCATTCTCTCCAAGTTCTACCCAACATAAAGGTGTTCTACATCTCCTACCATACAAAGCCTCATAGGGCGCCATCCCAATACTGGAATGGTAGCTATTATTGTAGGTAAACTCTATCAAAGGTAGGAAACTATCCCAACTACCCCCATGTTCTAAGATGCAAGCCCTCAACAAGTCTTCCAAAGATTGTATGGTTCTCTCAGTTTGGCCATCTGTTTGGGGATGGTAGGCTGAACTCAATCTAAGCTTAGTGCCTAAAGCCTTATGCAAACTCTCCCAAAATCTAGAGGTGAACCTAGGATCTCTATCAGACACAATACTAGTAGGAACTCCATGCAACCTCACGATCTCACTAATGTACAACTTGGTTAACCTCTCCAAAGAGTACCTAATATTAATGGGAATAAAATGGGCAGACTTAGTCAATCTATCCACAATGACCCATATAGCATCCAAGTTCTTCACAGTCTTAGGTAACCTAACTACAAAATCCATAGAGATGCTATCCCATTTCAACACAGGCACATCTAAAGGTTTCATCAGACTTGAAGGTTTTTGGTGTTCTACCTTAGCTTTATGACATACTAAGCAAGCATACACAAATTCCTCCACTTCCCTCTTCATCTTAGGCCACCAAAACATCTTCTTAAGGTCTTGGTACATCTTAGTGGCTCCTAGATGGATACTAAGGATACTCTTATGATCTTCTTCAAGAATTGCTCTCTTAAGCTCTAGCACATTGGGAATGTACAACCTATCCTT